TCATAACATAGGTGCCCCCATATATTAAAATCACATTCGAAAACCTCGCCGATTCTGACGGAAGAAGAATCCTTGGTGCATGTGGTAATAAGGAACTGATCAATGCTAGGGGCTGAATTTTAGTTTCAGCGGAAGATGGAGTACTGTGCTAAAGCCAGAAGCTTTATAACAATCAAAGACACCCTGTACACAACCTCCTTCCATGTGCGAGGGTAATGGGACCGTAGCTGCAGTAGCATCTCTTTCTCCGCTTAGAAGTGTGGAGCTGAAAGGTAAAAATACACCTAGCCTTCATTGCTTGCCCACTCTACGGCACAGCGAGCTAAATGTCTCGCTATAGCCTAACGCTCGATTTGTCTGCGCCCCCTCACTTCCGGCTGTTCTCCACCGCTGAGTGCGGGTTCCACCAGGGGACCTTCGAATCGACCCAAGCGCTGCACACTGAAGACAATTACAATTACATGTAATATCAAAGGATTCCTGAGCTTCATTATATTATAAGTCTTCTTCTGGGTTGATGGAATGAAACTCTTCTAAGTCTTTTATTTCTCGGCGACGTTTCGGGCCTTAAGCCCTTCTTCAGGTCTACAAATATCACATATGTACAAAGCCTACACCAACAATCCTACTATCCTACCATATACAATCCGCTAAGTATGTCTGTGTGTGTGTGTGTGTCCGTGCGTCTGTCTGTCACGAAATTCATAGCGCCGGTCCCAGTAGCAGTGAGACATTGGTTCCAAGAAGTGATGTAGGGGGTGTGACGGGAACACTATTGGTGGGTGACAGGAAGTGATATCAGTTGATAAGATCCGATAAGAGGCGTTAGAAGGAGAGGTCACCATATTCATAACGCGGGTGACAGCATCAGCTAGCTCTTGATTCCAAGATATGATGTAGAGTACGGGCCAAGAACATTATTTTTGGGTGACAAGAACTGCGAGCTGCTGATAAGATTCGATAAGGGGCTTCAGAAGGGGAAGGTCACCATATTCATAACGCGGGTGACAGCCTCAGCGAGGCGTTCATTTCAGCAAAGATATCTAGGGTGAGTGGGGACAACAACCGTGGGTGGCTGGAAGCGATAACAACTGATAGGGGCTGATAAGAGACGTTCAGTCGTCGTCGCTGTTCAAGGCGGTGCAGCTTTTACATTACCAAATTATAAGGATTTAGTGATAAGGACATTGATGACGGGTGACAGGTAATCATATCATTCGATAAGAATGGATAAGATACCATCTGCGCTACATTTTTATCACTCTTACCGCTTTAATGCCGAGTATTAGAGGCTCAGTGTGTGAAACTTTCCTTTAGCCATCACTTCCTGATAACACTAGAAAATGAACTCATCCCACTATCCTACTATATATAATCCGCTAAGTATGTCTGTGTATGTGTGTCCGTGCGTCTGTCTGTCACGAAATTCATAGCGCCGGTCCCAGTAGCAGTGAGACATTGGTTCCAAGAAGTGATGTAGGGGGTGTGACGGGAACACTATTGGTGGGTGACAGGAAGTGATATCATTTGATAAGATCCAGTAAGAGGCGTTAGAAG